AAAGCAATAATCTCCTTACAATAATTGTATTGGTGTAAACATAACACCATATAACATATTGTACTTGGTAAACGAAAGACATTTGCAATTCTTTTTTGTCAAAACTGGCATTCAATAATTGTTTACAAACTTTTTACTATTTCCGCGAGTAAACAGTTGCTTACAATTCTTGAAAATTAATTATTATGCCTCATTATTTGTATGCAATTATTGCTCATGTATGTATAAGAAAATTGCATCGTATAAGTGGCGCTTAAGCTTCAAACGAAGTTTAAAACTTATAGCTTAAAGATTTCGCGGTAACAATAAAGTTATAATCTTGTTAAAATAATACTTTGTAAAGGTTAAGTAACTTAAGCAGCTTTACGATAAAATTATTCTCTGCGGAATTTCCCTATCAATATACGGTTTATTTGTGTTTTTGCAATTTACTACCATTAGAATACCGGGTTAAGTCTTTATAGGAGGAATTTGACATCATCCAGCTTGGTCTATGTCGTGGACTCTCGTTCAATCTATTTTTTTTTAATTCCACCCCTTCTGATGTTTCGTGTAAGTGGTGTTTTCTTAAATGTAACGGCATGTTCAATCTACCTTTGCCGGCCTGAAAGAGCGAAACGTATTTCTCTGCTCATAATATTATTTAAAAGTAAAATGCTGTATTATTTTGATACGACATTGAAATCACTGTTTGCCTTATTTTCGCATGTTTTGTTGTGATCGGTTATATAATTATACAAGTTTTAATTGAACCGTATACACTATACACAAAAATTACAACACATCATACCACAGCGAAGTTATTTTGTCACAAAAAGTTGAGAGATTGAATGTTCAAATGTAAAACAAATCGGCTAATAAAAGAATGACTTGGCAAACGCACACGCGACAGTAGAAACTACGCACAACAAAAATCTACTTAATATTAATGCTTTCAGCGCTTTATGTATTAATGTATTAAAAGGTAAAAAAGTGTGTCCAACGATCATATGCTCGTTTGAATCTAGTCATAGTTAGAAAAGGATGGCGCTACATATAGCACATAGCGATATCCCTTTCTAACTGTACTCAAGTAAAGATCAACACTTAGTTGTCATTCTGAAATACGGGCCTAAAGCTACCACCCGTGCCGATGCCTACCCAAACCCAATCCCCTACCCCGTGGAGCCCTGGAACTCAACGATAGAAACACTAAACCACCAAAAGGTAGTGTTATTTTACCGTAGTTTTCTGTAACGTGGAGGTTGCTTACCCTTACCCTTTCAGTTTGAGCGGACAATCCGCTATGGTATAATTTCTTCGAGTAGCATTAACAATGCTAAGTCAAGACCACCTAAAAAAGTAGGTTAATATTATTTGTTTATGTTGCTGTGCTATGACCGAGTCATAACGTAACCAAGTTTGTTTTACATTAGAATATCACAACATTTTGCGGGAGATTTTATATTTTCATGGACTCTTATTTTAATAGAATATATATTAAACTTCAATGTTACATCCTCAAGATTTAATATAACCATGTAGATGTCCGTCAGTACTAATCGTCTCATTTTCTGTCTCTAAACAGGTGTGATGATGCAGTATACTGAAGGGCAACTACATGGTTTTATTAAATCTTTTCGGATGTAACATTTCGTATAATTTTGGTTGAACTTCACATGAGGTATGTTCTTTTAACCATAAATTATATCAGCATACATTCTTTTGGATTTCATTATTTAGAACATATTATTCCTTTTTCCACTGCAACTCACAAATACCACCCCACAAAGAAAAAATGTGAATTATTGTCGGATATATATTATAAATATTACTAGATACATTGCAAATAACGATAAGTTTGCTTGACAGAAAGCTCTAAAGATGTGTCCGAGAATAAATGAATAGAAGAATAAATATAAAAGACAATCTTTTGATTCATAACAACTTAGAATACGCAACATTAATAAACATGATTCTTATTACTGGTCGAAATCGATGGAGAATAACATTAAAACTGCGAAGTGCGATTAATAACGAAGAAGGTGCTCTTTTTAGTACATAAAACAATAATTACAAAAGGCTATTTGCAAAGTTATTAATTAAATTATTTACCCAAAACAAAATTAAAGACGTATTGATTTTCAAATTCAAAGAAATTTCTTAGTCGAAGATAGATAGAGTGGTGTAAGAGATTTAATGAAATCTGTGAATATGTCACTGGTTTTGTTATAAAACTAGGTGACTTTGCAATATTAATTAAAGACGGTATTTACTGTAGTCAGCTTTTGTAAAATTATATAACTGGCTTTCCACCCGCAGCTTCACTTGCCTCGACTATGACCTTCATCCCTCGTTTTAACATGGCCTGCGCAGACGAGGGCCCTTTGTTCGCGGAGGACAAAGTCGTAGAAAAATGTCCACCGAGGACTTGTAACATATTCAAGGCAAACGAACTTTAGAAAAGCGAACGCTATGGAAGTAAATATTCTTAGATTACGTTGTGTTGTAATTTATATGAAGTTTAAGAAAAAGAGAAGACGATTTTAAAGAGAATACTGGTTCCAACTTTATAAATTGGAACGAGCGTGCAACACGGGCTTAAGTTTGCTGTGTGCGTTGGTGCGCTTAGTCACATGAGTTCTATTTTTTTTTTGAGGATTCCTGCGCACTTTTGTCCAGTCCGAGCTCTTGGTCCAAGTTGTTCAGGACACTTTTTATACACGGTAGTTTTGAACCCTCGTGTGCGTTACTAAATGCAGTTGTAAGCAATCTCTCTTGGCGGACGAAAAAGTCAGCGGATAAAAGTCCCTCGTCTGCGCGGGGCTATATGTGTGAATATGCTATGATATGTGTTTGACCCCCTCAGGTTCGAGTGGTCTAGAGGCTCCAGACGGAGAGGAGACTCCCCCCGTGGGGAGACGCCATCCGACCGGAATACCTCTGAGGTACTCGCCAATTCTCGGCTTGAGTTCCCCTTAGAATCTCGCCGTCCTCAAACCCGGTGACGCTGTAAAGGTCATCTGCGACCAACAGCAAACACACTCAAAAAAACAAATGTGTTTGTTTGCTTAATGCTTCAACTTTTAATTTTAATATGCATGTAAACTGAACATCCAAATGATTTTATTTAATAATAACTTTTGGTACCTACTGGCATTTTCCGGGATCGTAACAGCTGGCTCGGGAGTAATTAACTGGTAGAAGTACAATTTTGACGGCACACGCAATGGGCTCAAAAGGCATTATTGCAATATGAAAAAGTGGGAGAATAATTTATTCAGATCTTTATATTATTATATGTAATAAAATCTGTATGTCCCGTTGGTTATGATTGCAGTCGAAACCATCTATTTGACTATGGTTTAGAGATAAGGAGACATCGGAAAAGGACAAAGGCTACTTAAGTTGTAAAATAGGGCATGAAGGTCTGTATGGAAAATCGCTTATTCGAATGACGTGCGTGACCCCGTCACAAGAATTGACAATACATAAATGCAGTGGCCCACCGCCGACGATGAACGAAAAACGAGAAGAGCTAAGAACTAGAAACGAAATTTGTTTTTACTAGAAAAAATTCCACGCGGACCAAGAGGCCTACTCTACTTCAACAAAAAACGAAAAGACATCGACGAAATCGGCCCTAGCATGCCCAAAAGAATGTCCTTCACTATTATTTTTCTATTATTTTTTTAACTTATTAGCAATTAATCATAGTAAACGGACAATCTGTTTAAAAATTACAAGTTCTGTTACTAGATACTACAGTCTGTTCATCCAACTTGGCACTCCTTTTTATTGAAAATACAGCATTAAAAATCAACTGATAAGTAGATTCAATAGGTTTCAGTCTATAATAACGATTTATTTTAATAGTTTATTGGCTTCGTTAATATTTTATTATTAATGGGTGATTCTGTTAAAAAGTTGTGCCAAGATTGTTTACCTTAGTAATGCAATATAGGCGACCATAGGTATTTATCAACATAAAAATAGAACTAGGTACCTTAGTTAATAATACTTATTACTAGTATTTCTATTATATTAATGAAAAGATTATTTCTGAAATTATCTAAAGATAGTTTATACTCCCATCCCATGTAATATCTGTTTATTTTTATGAAAATCATAATGATAACCAGGTACATACCTAATTACCGATAGTAAACTGTAGGAACAGGTAAAGACTGAACATTTCATTTGAAAAGAAATCTATCATTACTTACTACAGGTATCATAGGTACCAACTGACAACACTCATAAATCAATATGAATATAAGCATTTATTATTTTTATTATTAATTGCATTTTATGTTCATTTAATGCATATTATTTAAGTGCTTACATAGAGGTAAACACTAAATCTATTCAGAATATATAAAGTGTACATCTTTTATGATTAAGTATAATAATTATAACCTCAAAATCTAATACATTCTGTAGTAGGCCACGGTTCCTCAAGTTGTCCGTATCTCAACAAATGCTTATTTAGAGTTTATGAATGATTCCGAACACAACTAGCATTTTCTCATTGCTGGGCGTTCTAGGGCATTCAATGTATGGGGAACGAGCAATGTCCTTTCGCACGTTTCTTATTCTGTATCTTTTTCATTTCGAAAATACGTTCGTCCGAAAATTGTTAGACAATTAAATTCACCGAGGCGCAACAATTTAACCCACCCCATCCTGATTGTAAGTGTAAGTGGAAAAGATGTGCCACTCCAGCCATCCTTACCTTGTCGGCCTGAACCCAAGCCCCTACCCCGCGAAGCCGTGGAACACTACTCACCAGCAGAAATATAACACCATCAAAAGGTAGTGTTGTTTTACAGTTATCTTCTGTAAGGTTAAGGTTGCTTTCCCAGACAGGCGCACCAATTCGAGCGGGAAATCCGCTATGCCCTACCTCTCTAACCCAACTTTTGGTGTACCGGAACGCAAAAATTGTTATCAATAGTGTCTGGAGATGGCAGCATTCGAAAAATTTATCTTTAGTATATGGTATATTTAGTGGTACTTACTGTCATACTGAGAGGAAAGAGCTTGTGCAGAGGAGCCGGGCAGAGTCACAGCTGCAAGCCCGCAAATAGCCAACACGATCGCACAATTCCTTGACATGGCTGCAACAACAATAAAATACTCAATAAGTAAACATGTTATGTTTTTTTAAGTTTTTAAGCATTTAACTGTTTTTTTTTTCATTTTTCTTAGTTGTTTCAAAATAGGGGTTTTTCTTGTTAATCGCCGTTGTTTGTGTTTTTATCAGTATTTTATGGTCAGTCGGCTATTTGATGCCTTCTGACATAAGCATTTAACTGTTAGGTGTTTAAACCTAAAGAAAAGTTTACTAGATTGTGAGTTACCTACAATGCGAAGAGATGGCGCTGCCTCGCAGTCTTAGGCTAGAGAAAAATTCAACACGAAGTTCAGGGCCGCGGTAGCATAATGGTCAGTGCATTCGCCCGGATAACGAAGGGTGCGGGTTCGAGTCCCGTCTGCTCTCTGGTCAGCGTGGATATTTTTCTAGTAAACTTTTCTTTAGTTATGTTTTTATTTTATTTTAAGCATTAAATTGCTAGATGTTTAAATCTAAAGAAAAGTTTTACTAGAAAAAAAACCGCGAAGGGTGCGGGTTCGAGTCCCGTCCGCTGCCTGGTCCGCGTGGATTTTTTCTAGTAAAACTTTTCTTTAAACTTTTCTTTAGATTTAAGTAAATATGTTTCTTATATTTTGATTATCAGTAGGTACTCATTTGATAAAACATAAACTTATTTTTCACAGAAGTGTTAAGTTAATTGGGGAAAGGAGGAGGATGCACAACACAACACACCACAACATATACGACTATGTTTAATGTATTTATATTATATATTTGTAACTAATTGTGATTAGCTAAATTCAAAATTTAATGAGTGGTACCTTGATGACGCAACTATCGCTTGCGATATTTCAACCGTTCTATCAGATTTTGACGTCATTATTTATAAATTCAAAAGTATTGGCCTTGACTTCAATTATTTAAAATGCGAGCTCTTCATTCCAGAATCAGAATTCTCATCTAAACATTTACAACACATTATTTTCGGCTTTAGCTCCTAATATCGAGAGTATTTTCACACTGAAAAAAAATTGCTGTTCACGCCATATACAACTTAAAGACAAGAGAATCTCTTAGAGATGTGATTAAATAAATTAATATTTTAACACTGGCATCGCAATACATTTATGAAAATATAATATTTGTAAGAAAAAACTATGACGCATTTGCAAAAAAAGTCAAACTTTAACACGAGATTTAGGAATAAGCTTGCCGTTCCATGTTTCAGACTCCTAAAATCAAGAGGTTCATTTCTGGGTTGTAGTATTGCATTGTTTAATAAAGTTCCCAAAGATCTGATTGGGCTTCCACTGACCAAATTTCAATTTCAGATCAAGAATACCTGTATGAATAAGCGCTGTTATAAAGTTGATGATTATCTAAATGATCGTAATGCATGGACATAGTATTTCTTTTAATTTGTTAGTTGATGAGTAGGTATTAGTAATTTTCATAACAGTAATATGGTACCTATTACTGTTATGAAAATTTCTCATTAGTAATATAAAGTTGACTATAAAATTTATTGTAACTATATATCTACACTTCTGGACACATCTATTGGTCCACCTTGTATTTTCAGTTTCGTTTGGTCCTAGCTAAAATTTTATATTAGGTCGAGCAAAAAGTTTTTATGCAGTTTTGAACCTGGCACATTCACAATTTCATTCAATAGTCTTTTTTTTAATTTCGAACACAGATTTTAAAGAACCAAAAGACAATTTGGAGCCTGTTTGTTGATATCAAACAATCGAATAATAAGAAAACTTGGTTTTATTGGTTTACTTGGATTTAATTCTTGAAAAAGTGATTGATATCTTTGGTTTTGCAACAAACATTACTTATTCTTAAAATTAAGGTGAGGTTCTATCAATAATCTATGGATACTTCACCTGAAGTCGCCGCCCAAGCTGTGGCACTTATTCAGGCCGGACACAGCCAAAGAAACGTGAGTGCTCAACTTAATTTAAGTCGATCTGCGGTCCGAAATGTTTATCGGAGGTACCTAGAGACTGGCGGCTTTGTTTGTCGCCAAGGAAGGCCACGATCTCAGGTCACAACTGAAAGGCAGGATCGATTCATCGTGACGACCAGCTTGAGAAATCGTCACCTTACCTCCATTGAGATACAAAAAAAAATTCGCAACTTCCACGGAGTATCTGTGAGCGCTCGAACTGTTCGGAGAAGGTTAAAAGAACGCGATATGGTACCACACAAGCCAGCTAATGGACCCAAACTAACGCGAGCCCACCGAACAGCGCGCCTTCATTTCGCACGCAGTCATTTAAATTGGACACAGCAAGATTGGAGCCGTGTACTCTTTTCTGATGAGTCTAAAATTGTGTTACATGGCAATGATGGAAGGAAGAAGGTCTACCGACGTAAGGGAGAGCGTTTCGCACAATGCTGCTTTGAAGAGAGGGTTGCTTAAGGCGGTGGCTCATGGACTGTCTGTGGCGGTATATCCGCGAGCGGCAAAACTCAACTTGAGGTTGTTACAGGACCACGGCTGCCAACATTAAATGCTGAAAGGTACATTCGTGAGTGCTTAGAACCTCACGTGATACCATACGCGGACTATGTGGGCCCAAATTTCCTTTTTATGCATGATAATGCAAGAGCCCATGCGGCCGGCATCGTCAGGGAATATCTTCGGGATGTGAACATCACAGTTATGGACTGGCCAGCCAGAAGCCCAGACATGACTCCATTGAGCACATGTGAGACGAGCTAAAAAGACGTGTTAGGGCTCGTCAGCCAGTTGCCCAGACGATGCAGGAGTTGAAAACTGCCATAGAAGAGGAATGGGAGATGATCCCTCAAAATTTCATAGAGCGGTTGATAAACTCTATGCCTAATCGTATGAGAGCTGTGGTAGATGCCCATGGAGGCAACACGCGTTATTAAGTTAAACCTTTATTTGATAAAATATGTTATTTATTCAAAAATCAATTGCCTTTAACAAGGCGCATATCCGACTTGTTAGGCGTAGCTCCATGTCGTATGGTATTCTGAAATTTAAAACAATACGATCGAAAAAGATGGTAAAATGTATCAGGTTTAAAACTGCATTAACAGTTTTTGTTCAATCTAGCAATCATATTTCGGTAGGGGCCATCGAAACCTAAACTCTAAGGTGGGCCAATAGATGTGTCCAGAAGTATATATTTTAAAAGATGTAATGGCAGATGACTTCAGAATATTACTAACATTAACTTCATTAAGCCGTCTCTTTACTTTCGGGAGTTGTAAGACATACATTTTTATTTATAAATATTTATTTATTATAGAGTGGAGTCGTTTATTCACAATTGTCTTAACAAAAATAAATGTTAGTTACAATAATCATATATACAGAAACAATGAACCTAAAACTAAAAACCTTAAAAAATATAATATAATTACTAAAATATATTATTAAAAGGAGTCCCTTTAGGCAAGGTTCCGGAGATACTGGCAGCGTTCCCTCTTTGAATAGCTAAACTAATTCTTTGTCCGAGGTAGCTGCCAGCTCTTCGGTCTCCTGTGATGTCGACTAACCTTTTTGATATTTCCTTGAAAAACCTTATAGCGCTAGGACCCCACGGACCAAGGGTCTCGACACCGAATGGGACAAAATCATATTCGGAGCCTAGACCCATGTATTTGAATGGTTTTGCTTTTTCAGCCGCTTCACAAGCCGCACTAGCTCTGTTGTTGGTTCCATGTAGATGGGTAGGGGCCAGCGTGTCTGTTCAGACCTGTCAGGTTGCATTCCATACCAGCACCCGGCCCATCTTCCATAGAATCAAACTCATAACGTCAGGTCTCTTGCAATACCAGTCGGCTCAAGTAGACTTGGCAGGTTGACGGTGGCAAGGGACCGGCGTATGATATCGTTAAGTGCGGCATGTCTCTTCAGAATTATCACTCATTTTTCAACTTAACGACGCTGTATATAACAATACGGGCAGAAAAAAACAGCCCTTGCTGAGTTTCTTATCGATTCTTCTCAGTACAAGGTCTCGCGCCGTAGTTTTGCGAACCGATAGCTTCTTGAGCTTCATACGTGCTTGTAACAGCCTAGACTGAATAAATAACTTTAGATTTTTTTGAATATAAACATTCTTGTTACTAAATCTCTCCGTCTTCTTGATACCCCGATTTTTATGCCAGCCTATTGGGCACCTTTCTGCACATTCCTGATGGTGGCGTTGGGGGTGACATATTTTTATTTTGTTAATTATTTATTTAATTAGGTAAGTAGATTAAGCTATATAGGGTGTAAAAGAACCAATGACAAAAACTAAAACTACGCATTCTGTACACCCAAACAAGTAATATTACAAAATATTATACGTGGGAAATCATTTTTATTTTTAAGTTAAAAATATATATTTTTTTTCCAGTACGCAATGTATAGCGCGCCGCGCTACTGTGGCGCTACGCAAATAATGTGCCTGTGTGTAAGTGTGTGCGTGTGTGTAAGTGCGTCGATAGAACGCGCTTCTCCACTACCTAGCGGGAGTATTATGTACACAAAATTACTTGATTATTTACTTCCAAAGTTCCTACATTTAAAAACAGCCCTTATGGAATTTGTTTAGATTTAAAGCTACGTAAGTACTTTTACTACTTACCGACTACTCGACCTCGTCTGGAATCGGCCGCTCGAACCGGATAAGTTGTGGCTCGAACTGGCGACCTTCCACATGTAAGCAAACGCGTGCCCGGTACAGCGTATTTTGATGGACGCGCTCCAGTATTCCTTCCCGTACAGACCGATATTTCAGTTCTTCAAATACGTCAATAATTTTTTGACGCATTTGATCACTAGTCTGACAGGGGCGGTCAAAAACACGGTCTTTGACGAAACCCCACAGGAAAAAATCCAAAGGCGTCAAATCAGGCGAACGCGCTGGCCACGCGTGCGGCCCATTTCTGCCGATCCAGTGGTCTCCGAACAGCTCCGTCAGCCGCTGCCGAACTGGTCTTACGATGTGAGGCGGTGCACCGTCGTGCTGGTACCAAGTCTCCCGCAACT